AAGTTCTGTCCTCTCTCGAAAAGTGTCCTCCTACATGTCCTCCTTTTCGATATTTGAAGACTAATCTGTAAATCTATGTATTCGATCGATGCCGATCCGATCCATTGCACGTGATGTGACGTATTTGTATTTGACATGACGATTCGTCAAGACTTGGTACAGTGCGGCGAGACGCGATTATGAGTTGCATGTGCTCCGCACAGGAGAATTGTTTTGAGAGAGTGTGCCGTGCACAAGAGTGCACTGCACGCAAGTGGCTTTGTTTACTTCTTACCGAAACACGACACGGCACATACGCACGCATTAGACTCACTTTTTTTTTCTTCAATTTATTTGTGTCCTCCTTCTCATTGTAAAAAAGGTGGTCACCTTAATGATAGCAGTGTTCCAATATCTAAGGGGCTGCTGCAAAGAAGATGCGGTCAAGCTATTTTCCAAAGCACCTGAAGGCAGAACAAGAAGCAATGAATGGAAATTAATCAAGGAGAGAAGCAACCTAGAACAAAGGACACATTTCCTGACAGTTAGAACAATTAATCAGTGGAACAACTTGCCTCCAGAAGTTGTGGATTCTCCAACACTGGACATTTTTAAGAAGAGATTGGACAACCATTAGTCTGAAATGGTATTGGGTTTCCTGCTTGAGCAAGGGGTTGGACTAGAATTGCTCCTATGTCCCTTTCAATTTCATTATGCTGTATTCTGCCATCAATAGGTAAGTGGGCAATTGTAAATTAGCTCTGTTAGGCCTGCCCATCTCTGTTAAAGACCAGACAACGATTACTGAGGCTTGCAGTTTCTTCCCAAATCAAAACACAATTTCAATCTTTCCAAATCTGGGGATCAGTTGCCACAAAAACTCAAAACAGAGAAAAAATAACTTTCTCTTGATATTTTACTGTGTGATTAGTCTGTCCGGGAGGTATGGTGAGGTGGCTCTGCAGCATTAAAAAAAAAACAAGTCCCCATCAACTTTGTCCTAATTATATCTTCTCACTGATTAGTACAGAGACCAAGTCCTCTGACTAAGCATTTTCACTAACCCTACAACCTGAGGCAAACAGACCTCACATACACTCTCCAACTTTTTCAACTTTCCCTAAAGCCAGTATCTAATCTCCTGCTGCCTTGCAGAACAGCTATCTTGTTTCTACATGTGCAAGCAAGCTAGGCTGTAGCTGTGGTTATTAATTCTTTTATTCTTTTGCCAAAGGCAATGGCTGTTCCTGAAGAAGTAACATCAGGCTCACTTGTGCAGTGCATGGTTATCTTCTCCAACCTGCTCCCTAATGTTATTCATTTGTTATTTTCTGTCTTTTCACAAATTTGCTCTACAATAGGACTAGATTGTCAACATTCCACAAATTAATTTTTTTCTATTCTAGTGGGATGTTAACTTTCGCCAATCGGAGTGATTGTAAAGTTATAGAAAAAGATGTGGGTAATTAAGGATTACCTCCAGTATCTTGGCAGAAAGGCAAAGATGATCAGGAATAGGCAAGGAAGTGGAATGTTCTGTTTTTAACTGGATTTCTTTGAGGAAATTGCTTATTTCTTCATGGGTGTTTAACTACAAGTACTCCTCGACTTACAACAGTTCATTTAGTAATTTAGTAATTCCATTCGGAAAAGTGACTTATAACCATTTTCATACTTACAACCATTACAGCATCCTCATGGGCACACAATCAACATTCAGACCCTTGGCAATTGACTCATATTTATGACAGTTGCAGTGTCATGTGATCACCCTTTTATGCAGTGTTCTGGGGGTCATGTGATCGCCTTTTGCAACCTTCTGATAAGCAAAGTGAATGAGGAGGCCAGATTCACTTAACAACCATGTTACTAATTTAACAACTGCAGTGATTTACTTAACAAGTGTGGCAAAAAAAGATAATAAAATGGAGCAAAACTCACTTAACAAATGTCTTACTTAGCAACATAGGTTTTGGGCTCAGATGTGGTTTTTAAGTCAAGGACTACCTCTATATCAAGCCTGTATGGGTTTATAAAACAGTTTTTATGTATTTTCTGCCTCAGAACAAGAAATTTAAAGAAAGAAAATACAAGAAAAGAAATTTAGTGATACATTTAATGCTACCTTTGGAAAGAGCTACAGCAGTGGACACAAAGCTGGATTTAGAGAGATGCAAATTGCCAACTTCCATTATATAACTTTTTTTTGCAGTATTTCCTGCCCTTTTCATTTAATCTCAGGCAGGGGAGAAAGGATTTGCAAGCAGGAAATAATGGGTTATTTTTCTTCTTCTTTTTTTGAAGCTGCTTTTCATGTTCACCTATGCAGCTGCATAACTGTGAATAACCACACGCTGTTTTCTGACTCTGTATCCTGCACACATCGTACAAATATGTAGCTGGTTGTCAGACCGAAAATGAGAACCACTTCACTTACAGTGCTTTAATAGGACTTAGGGAAAGTACATAAAGTATCAACCAGACATGATTTTAAACTCACTACAACTACCATCATAGGTATTATTGTGGTTCTTGACTGAGTGATAATCACAGAGGACACTGTATTTATGCCTTTTTTAATCTATATTTTTTATTTTACTCAAAACAAGGTTAAAATACAAAACTCTGAATAAAAAGTTCCACAGAAAACAAAAAAGACAAAAAACACAGATCAAAGCATGTGCATCAAAAAAACCCAAGAACAACACATATACATCTATTATCCCCTCTGGTTGAATACTGATTAATACATTACTACAACATTAGTTCCCAGCCCCTGCAAAACAAAACAAAAATTTAAGCTGCTAAATCTATTTGCAAATATGTCTTCTATATGTTAGATTAGTAACAAAGTAGTTAACAGGAAGAAAAAGAATACTAAGACAAAACAAAATTAAAGTTTCAAAACTCTCTGTTAACAAACCGTAAATTGTAATCCACTCATAGAAAATGTATCCAACCCAAGTCATCCCAAAAGTTATAAACAGTATTTATGCCTTTTGAGCACCCATAGCATTTGGGAAAAATACCTATGCAGAAAGAATCCCAGAAATAAAAAGAAATTTAGCATAGCAGATGTTTATCCAGCTGTATATTCATTTTAGCTGACTTTATACTTTAATTAGTCATTGCAACTGCATAGTTGATGATAGGATCTTGAAGAGAAACAGAGTACATAAAATTGCCTGAATCTACAAGTTCTTGCATGGTCCCACGGCCATGCCACAGATGGAGAGTTTGAATTGTTGAGCACTCTCATGTAAGATCCCACCTGTATTCTGAAGTGATACAGTCCAGAAAGCATTGAGCAGACTGTAAAGCATTACCCAGGCCAGCTGCTACTGTTTCATTGCTAGGAGAAAAAGCTTTCAACAAAAATGAGATTTATGTCACTGTGATATTAATACAAGAGTTGCATCAAGTATACCAATGCTTTTTGATGTGTCATCCAAAGCACCCACACTGGGTTTATGCTCAGGCTGTGCTGCCAAGGAAATGTAAATTCTTTCTTCTGTACCCCAATATGTTTTGGGCTAAATTAGGCCCTTAGGGCACAGCATTTGTGAATCTCAGCTTTCTTCAATGGCAACTGGATTCTCAATCTCTTGATTTTGTTTATTGTTCTCCCTGGTTTCCTCCAGTGACCCAACATTGCTAATGGCAGTGATTGGGTTAAACACACTCAGTTAAGCCCAGTCTTTGTGATCAGAAAAGCCCTTTCATTGTCTGCCTCCCCTCTAGCATTACAGGGTTCCTCTTTTTGGTTTTCTCAAGAGACACCGGGAATTTCTCCATTAGTACCTTTGAGTTTGCTCCTTTTATTTGAGCAAACCTGCTTGCGCATTTTAAAGGTAGGTAGATAGACTGTAGAATCATCCTACATACTTGCCTTCTTCCTGGATTTCAATGGCTTCAGTAAAGTCAGGTGTTTGTTTTTTTTAAAAGATCTTTCAATAATCCTCCTTGAAAGACTTGAATATGTGCTTCTGTAACAAACATCGTACTGTATTTCTTTCTTGGGATCATTTTTGTCCAACCCTTCAGGATTGCAAGTCCAACACAACTGGCAACAACAAAAAAAAAATTAAAAAGAAACTCATGCAAATCCATACAATCTACCTATAAGTGAAAGTTTCTTCATGGGAGTTCTTGCATTCAGTGGGCCTTACCACCAAGATAGCAATCTTTTATCAATTTAGCTGGCCTCAGTGAGACAAACCCAAGGTATTCAAGTATTTTATTCAGCTATAACATGGTTTGGGTTTTTTTTTAGTTTAGAGCACTGTATTCTAGTTTGCAAATCATGGTTTGTAGCTTCCTTTGTTTTAGCAAAGCCTGCTATGGATTAGCACACTGTCAACCCAAGGATAGGGTTTTGCAAGCCCCAAAGCGAAAGGAGCTTTTCACAACTTTGTGTCTTCTAGCTGCATCTAACTACAGTGCCCATTAACCAAAGCTAGCAAGCTGAATTGATTGGGAATATTCGGAACTTGGAATCTGAATATTTGGCCGGTTTGTGGAAGAATGGAACAAAGCATTGCGCAATTAACAACCTCCCCCCCCAAAAAACCACCCGAGATTGGGCTTCCACAATTTTATGGCCCCTTTTTTGGAAGCAGCAAAACTAAGGATGATACGTTCCCGCAGTTTTGCTTTAGGATTTCGACAGTTTCGTAAACAAAGCTTCGCTTTTCCTCCTCCTTCCCGGGAGCTGCAAAAGGGGGGCGTAACCACCTCGTGCGTTCTCTCTCTCTCTCTCTCTCTCCCCCCCGTCTCCTTGACCGAGGCGCCTCTGATTGGTGGGCGGAAGCCCAGCCTCCAAACCTTCAGCTGGACGTGCGCCTCCTCTTCGTCCCGCCCCGCTACCCTCTGGGTTCCCGCCCCTCACTCGGAGACTGCCCGGAGATGAGGACGAGAGAGCGGTGCCTGGATTGGTTTGCGCTCTTGCAGCGTTTCTACTGGCCGGTCGGGTAGAGAAGGGGCGTGGTCGGAGAGCGGCGATTGGCCGCGGCAGAGGGGTGTGCGCGAGGGGATGGAAGCGGCTGTTCCTGGGCTGGGGAAGCCAAGCCAAGCGGCGCTGGAAGGGGCGGGGGAGGGGGCGGCGGCCCGAGGCGCTTCTGCTGGGGCTGCAGTCGCCGCTGCCGCCCGGCTCCGAAGCCAGCCGGACGCGGAGCCCGCCACCGCTTCCCTCCTCTGCCCCCGCTCGCCGGCTGCACCATGAACAGAAGCAGCGGCGCCACGTCGTGCCCTCCGACGGTGCCCGGCGACGGCCACAGCAGCGGGCACGGGCGCAGCAGCGAGTGCCGCCGGGTCTGTAGCAACTGCCGGAAAGTCCTGAGGCAGGTGGGTCTGCCCTTTCTCCCCGACACGTCAAGGGGCTGCTCCGCCTGGGTTTGGCTGCCTTCCTCGGTGCCCTTCCGGAAACGCGGGACGACAGCATCCATCATCCACGGCACTGGCTGAGGATGACGGGTTATAGTTTGGCACCCGGGGGTGTGTGTGTGATCCGGCCGAGGAAAGGCTGAGGGAAGGCTATTGGGCTGCTTGCTCCGGCCACACCTCCTCAGAAGGGCTTTGAGAGGGAGCTGGGTAGAAATCTTCTCTTTAAAAAAAATCTGCGGGTTGTTATTGTTGGGGGGGAGGTTGTACCTTGGGAGGGTTTTGCAATGATTTCCTCAAAAATCTATAAATAGATGCACATAAATATATATAAAATTTATTGCAACTGCTTCTCTGCTGCTTCATTCAGATATATGTACACACAAACATACGAGAAATATGTATATAGAGACATGTATGTATTAGCTTGCTACATTTATCTGATTTTTATGGCAATAAATGTACATTCACGTTTCCCTATATCTCTTCTCATGGTTCGGGGATATAAAATAAGACAGGTAATGAAAACACCTAATAATTTTGTGTCGAATTATGTGCTGATTGCATGTTATGTGAATATCCGTACTGTTTGGTAATGTTGCATTCCCATTGTGCCTTTCCTGTATGTGGCGCTTCTGGTTTTGCCTTTTCCCAAAATGTGTTCAAGGGGCTTTTTTTTTATTATTAAGATCTCACTTTAAAGGAAAAGAGTTTGGGGTAATGCATAAGAAAAATGGCTTTGAATAAAATAGTGCAAGATACTGAGGAACAAATAGAGTAGATAATCATGTTCATTAAAAGCAGAAATTGAGTGGAGGAGATGTTCTTTTGATCACCTCTAAGTGACAACTTGATATCCAACTAAAATATAGGGCTTGCTGTAAGTAAATATGGATATAGGAATTGAGTTTTTGTGAATGCTAGTAATCCTTGTGCTAGTAATAAAATACAAGTAATGCTAATAATCCTTTGCTAGTAATGTTTATAACTGCAATAAAATACAAAAATAAATAATGGCTAAGTAACTGTGAACACTGCAGTGCCTTCTGTACTTCCATCACAAAAAGATAAATGGTATTTGTTGTGTCATAGATCCAAGTGCCAAAACAGCAGATTCATGATTTGCAGGTTTTTGAAATCATACTGTGAATCATTTAATATCTTAAAATCAGTCTTCACCAATCTGGTGCCTTCCAGATGGACCACAGTTTCTATAATCACCTTATATGGGTTAAGATAGGGAAGGTTGTATTAAAAATTATCCAAACATATCTATATTTCATCCAGTATTATAAGCACATAAATCCCAGTGATATCAGTGAGAGATTAAACTGGCACGTGTTGATATTTTAATAACTATAATGTTTGTATTGCTACATTTCTATTGTTTTTTGATACTAATTGCTTTTCTTCCTAATATTTCAACTCTTCCCTATTGACCCTGAAGATTCAAGCTTGGAAAAATTGTGACAAAGTTATTTTGTTTGGATTGTGTATTCCCCTTTCAAAGCTTTGACCTCTGTAGATATTGTCTCCTATATAAAATTCTCCCTAGCATAATTGTATATGTGTCTGAAAATTTCACTGTATTTTTCTCATCTCAGTCTTCTTCATTATATAGTTATTGCTAATGAAAATGCTTTTGGACAATATTAAGATTTTTCATCTGATGAACTTTTAACAAAGGACACTAAAGGACTAATACAGTCTTCAGTATTGATTGTTCCTGTATTATCCATCACAATAATAAATTCCTTATGATGGAAGAATGAAATTGAAAAAGTGAGGGATAGCTGGGTAGTAGGTTGGTATAATCAGGCTGAGTGATATGTGTCTTCCAAATATTGTTTTCAACACAAGTCTTGGGGAAAAAGGATATGTTTGTGCGGCTGACTGGTTATGTTCCATCAATGTTTTGTGAGCTCTTTATTGTGTTGAAGTATATAATTAGGGGAACATTCCTTACTCCCTGCATATCATTGGCTGGGTATATGCATTGTATTGGACCACAATGATGCAAACCATATTATACTCTATCTTGTTGTCTGAACTGGGCATTACATCATATAGTATATGAATCCAGTTGTTTGTTCAGTAAACCATAGTTTAGCAGACTGTGGCTTAGCTGATATATAAATATGCTTATTGTATTAATAGCAGTACAGGTGAGTTTTTCCTGTCCAAATAAATGTACTATAATTGTTGGAGAAAATCTATGTGATTGCAAAGAGTCAACACTATCTTGATGGCACATACAGTAATCAGTTTAATAAAAACGTCTACACTGTAACTGATCGGACAAGAGAAATCTATGCATATTGTCCCTATTTGTGTTTTTATGTAATCATAGAAATACATATCTAAGACATATGTATAGATTTGTCTTATCCAATTAATAAAAGTTGCCCTGAATTTAAATGGATCTATTATTTTAAATGTATGGAAGATATTAAAAACTGTAAATTATTAATATCTTGAAAGACATTTTCCACTTTTTTCCAAAGGAAATGAGTCAAAAGACATGCCTGCTATTGTCCATGTAGATGGCACCTAACAACTTATTTAATATGCATTTTGAAACTGTCAATCTGGTTCTAAATGTGAGCAAAGCCACAGCGTGATTGGTTTTTCACTTAGCATGGTTATATCATCCAAGTCCCTAATGCCTTGGGGAAATCATGATTATCAGTATGTTGTGTGAATTAAGCCAGTTCAATAAACCTTGGTAAACAAAATCAAGTCTAAGTACAGAAGGCTTCAAATTTGGGGAGATGGTGATTACAACTGGAATTTCAAGAATATGGCAGGCATTCTTCCAAAGTAACTGCTTGTGAATAGAGTTTTCTGTTCATAAAATATCTGCTGTGTAAATCCCTGATTTAACAAACACCTTGGTACCACTTCATAGAAGTACTGTCTATATGGCTCCTAGTTTATGCAACATTTGTTCTTTTCAAGCAGGGGTGTGTACCTGCCTCCAAATCACTGGAGGTATCCTTCACAATGTTTACATCCAAGAAAATTTCTGGGTCCCATTTCAATTACCAAGGCATTTTATAAGTAAAAAGTCATGATAGAGGTTGACATTTTGTTTTCAGTATGTCAGCTTTTTATTTTTGGTAAAGCCATTTCCCTATGAAGGCAAGTTGGTGAGTGCCAAGGAAAGGAACTTTGAATCATTGTGTGCACCCATGTGCAAATTTCTTCAAAAAGAATGACATATTTGGATTGCATCCTTTTTGTGTGATAGAATATATACTGAGGAAAAGAGAACACTATATGCCCACCCTGAGCTTCTGACAAGGCGGGATATAAATCAAATAAATAAAATACAGTTTAATTTGTTTACCAGGTGAAGCTCAGTAAAAGTCCTTGCAACTGCATCAACACTGTATTCCATTAGTTGGCAATAGCAGCTGCTTTGTTGCAGTAAGTAGAATATGAGTTGTACACTGGAGGAACTTTGGTTCCAATCTTTGTTCAGCAATGAAATTCACTGGTGATTCTTGGACCACCTTTCTCCTAATTAAGCTTATCTTCCACTTCTCTCTGGAAAACAGGCAGGGTGAAAACAAAATGTTAAGAACCCTGGCTAGCTTGTAAACTGGCATAAAGTTGAAATTCTCCAATTAAACTCCTACAGGGGATGTTAACACAAGTAAGAATCTAAGCTAAGCAGTGATTGAGCACACGAGGGGAAGGGATAAGTACTTGACTGTAATGCTTGTTCCCAGCTCTGTAAGTAACCGTTGAAAACTTATAAACAATAAACCAAACCCTGCTAATATCTGCTCCCCCCTCCCCCCCTGCTCCCCTCCACCTGGAAAAACCAAATTTCTTACAGCGCATTCTTAACCATGTTAACATCCTGGCCATCTACAGGTTAGCAATATTCTGATCTCTTAGTACATGTGGCTAACTGAATGCATTAGCTGAGATGTTTTTTATTTGTCTAGTGCAAATGAATTAAAACTGCTAAGCTGTGCAAAAGCATCAACTTACAGCAAAAGTTTTGTTTGCCTTTGTTCTGCTGTGTGTGTGTGTGTGTATGTGTGTGTGTGTGTATGAGAGAGAGAGCGAGAGAGAGAGAGAGAGAGAGAGAGAGAGAGAGAGGAAGGAAGGAAGGAAGGAAGGAAGGAAGGAAGGAAGGAAGGAAGGAAAAAAACCCTCAAGTCTCACTTTGGCAACCTCTTTCTAATTATATCTTTGCATCATGATTTCTCTTGTAAATATGAAGAAACATGTAAGTCAATGAGCTCAAATATTTGTGCTCTTTGTCCCAAAGCTGTTTTTCTTTTTTCCTTCCTCTGTGAGGCCAAGTGCCAATCAAAGTTGTTTTTCAAGCCATGAAATTGTAGAATTCTCTCTTCCGTTCTCCCAAAGGGTTTGGCTCTGGAAAGCAGGCATGGGGGTAGGGATAAAACATTTTTCTAAAAGCTGTACTGTAAGTGCTTTAGACTCATAAAAACTGTATCCTATGCTAACAAATGTCTATGTTTGCTGCGTGTATTTACTTCTAGCTCTCCATACACTCATGAACTCTTGGATCATATTACACATCCTACTTGATCTTTCCCCCTCACCCCTTTGCAACTTGTGAGAAATATCATGAACTTGACAAGCACAGAAATGTACAGCTGAATTCCTATCTTGGCTGAGTTCTCCCTTCACTAGAAGTCTTCTGTCTTGGATAAGCTCCACCCGCAGAATATGGAATAGACCTGCGAATCAGATAATCCCTGATTCAGATTTTATTTTAAAAAACAGCGTGCAGATCAGGGCAGGAAACCTGAACTATTGCTGGATGAGAAATCCCTGCAATCTTTGAAACTGACTAATGCTTTCTGGGAGTTGTAGTTCATAAATATCTTCATGTCACAATTTGCCTATTCTAGTGTGGATGTTCTTCAATACTTCCCTACACCAGTATATTGTGGGACATACAGGTAGTCCACAACTTTCGA